GAGAACTAACCAGCACCCTGCGTGGAAAGCACTTCGTTGTCATGTTGCTTACTGTTTTCTAATGCCGCCTCCCCCATATTTATATTGGCAATTTAAGCAAACATAGTTGGTAGGGGGGGGGGGCGGCTAGTAGTAGTAGTAGTAGTAGTAGTAGTAGTACTAGTAATGATACCAATAAAAACAATGAATTCAATTCTGCAACTTAGGCTTCCAGTGACGGATAGCTTTCAAAACAGCGCTGGGCTGGGCGGCAAGGCTGAACTAGCTGATGCAGCCTTCACGGAGTAGCTGTGTGCGTCGGTCAGCCGGCGCGTCGCCTGCCAGATTCCAAGCATAAGAGAAAGGAATCAGAAAGGCACCGAGGAGATTGCTGGTGCCAGTCCAGATCTGCTGGTTCTCTGCTCTGGACAATGACCTTCACATGCAAAAGACTCCGTGCAGCTCAGCCACGTAGTGCAAGCGGCAAGTGGCTTAGATTGTGGAGCAGGGCCGCACGGAAGTCCTCCCATATCAGAGAGAAAGTTGTTGCAAAAAGCGTGAGTCCTGCCGCAAAACTTGACCTCAAGTAAGATGATCTGAAGTCATGAATTAGCTTTGCAAGCCATAAGCTAGCCGTCCTCCACCTCCTCAAAGCGTGACGAGAGACATCCGCATCCGACTAACCTGTCCAACCGTCTTGCGAGGGACGTCTTTTTTTTCTGTGGGATTGAGTGCCTACGCTGTGAGTCTTAGACTATCGGGGCTATGGCAGCGAGCCTCGGAGCATGCCATCAGTTGCTGCTGAGAACAATACAGATGCAAAGTTTGGGGCAAGCGAAGTGATTCCCAGCTCTCTCATGAATCTCTGCATGGCCCCTGAATGCTAAACTTGACAAGTTCTAAGCAGACAAGTCCGCCAAGGAACGGCTCAGAGTCATCCGGAGATTCTGCTAGCTGGCGAGAACAGACCCGGTTGGTATTCAGAAGAAGAGCGGCCTTCTCCACAAAGCTTTGACTGAAGTTGGCCTCTAGCAGCAGCCGCAGTGCAGGATCGTAGGTGGAGAAGGTGTCCAGATCCAGATCCAAAATCCAGGCCCTGCTCTCTGATAAATTCTGTTGCAGTATTGAGTTTGCAGTCCAAGTGCCACGCTGCAGCCTGCTGAGAGCCTCAGGGAAATGGGAAGGGGAAAAAAATGCAGCAATTCGGACTCAAGCTGCTCGGATGCCGTAAACACGTGTCTGACCTTCTTTCTCAATAGCAGGTGCCTGAAACAACGTGCAAACAGTGAGGCTGAAGTCGCGGTAAAGAAGTAACCTTGGCGATGACCACAGCTCAATCTACTTACGGCCTGTGCGCCACGAGGCCCTTCAAAATCAGAGACACCTGCCTGTAATGTCGACAAGCCAGAGAATTATGTCACATTTGACCCCCCAGCCCTGAAACCCCTGAAACCTCAGCTGGTGTCCTGCACGTTCTTGGCAAGGTCGAGTAATATGGGAGCAGCGCACTTTCTAAGCTACCTCGTGCCAGGGTGCTCCTTCTCTGCAGCACCCTCTTCTGCCTCCGTGCAAGAGTCCAATGCCTGGATTCAAGTGGAGAATCAAGGAATGTTCGAACAAGAAAGTCACCAAGCCAGCTTTCAACCAAGCCCCACTGACAGACACTGCTTCCTCCCACAAACTGGATTCACTGCCAAGATGCTTCATGAGCTGTAATACCAGTTAATTCGGCCAGGGGAAAGACCTCTTGTACATCCAGCTGGCGCAGGCAAAGCTCCTCGAAAAAGACTTCCTCAGATCGTGGATGATCATGGGGGTTTTAATCTCCCTATAATGGAGAACCAAATGGAAAAGACAACGGAACATGAAAGGGAAACCCTAGGTCCCTTTAAAGGGGTATACAAGGATAATACCCCAAAAATGAAGAATCACAAGGAAAAGAAAACCCTACGTCCCTTTCGGGGGTAGATAAGAATATTACCTCCAATAATGGAGAATCACATGGAAAAGAAAAGGAACATGACATGGGAACTCGGGGAATATTAGTGGGGATTCAAGGTTATTTAGGGGTTCTGAGACAATCTTTTCCATGCTAGCCGCGCTCAAGCCAGCCAGTACCTAATCAGATACTTGCCCAAGACCTACACTATGATTACGATTACCACAAACCCAATAAGCTCCTGGTATTACCCTTAATATCCCCTGTAGGGTTCCCCTATTATATTCTCCCCCCTTTAAGGAGTGTAGACTATAGCTCAAATCAGCCAAGTTCAAGGCTCCCCCTCCACTGTCCAGAGATTCCATTCTACCCGTGCCTGCGCTGCAATAAAGCATGACATGGGTGTTTGAAGGAGCCTTCTGCCGGGAAAGTATACGGATAATGGACAAGAGCGTGGAAAATTACTGGGGAGAGAGAGCGAGATACACACGTAAATATGGGGTTTGGGGTGTAGGCTTTTTAGGGAATAAGTGGGGATATTGGGGTTACATAGAGATAATGGAAAAGAACATGGAAACTTGGAACTTAAGAAAATGTTTTATTCTGATGAACAACAGCCAACTGCCATTTTGCATTGCCGTCCACAGGCCAAAGACAAGCAAAAACCCTAAACCCTGTCGTAGTTTGAATTTTTCCACTATTGCAATATGACCCCAACAAATCCCAATATAACTTCAACATACCCCCAATATAACCTGTCCAACAGGTTGCGTACGTCTGCCCGTTTCTTCATATTGGAGCCCTGTTTGTGTTTCGCCCGGGACCTGACCTTGTATCTTCCGGGCGGAGGACCATTGTATCTGCCAATACCTGGAAGGTCGGACCGGATCCAGACCACACGGTCCACGATACCCAGCCACAGCGATGCTGAGATGAAGTCTGACACGAAAACCTCGTACTCAGATCACTTAGTTTTTTATTTGTTAATCCAGCAATTCTTTGCACGCGTCTGCCACGCCTTCTCGGCTGCAGACTTATGCCAGAATTCACGGCGCCCTTTTGCACATTGATAATCACCTCAACTCACAGAAGCCAGCAAACACTGAAAGCTGGAGATGCTTGCCAACCAGGCGCAGTCTTCCAGCTCTTCGAGCAAGTCAGCCCATCTTTCTGTCTCCAAGGGTGCCATGTCGCTGTGTGAGTCTATGTGGACAAGCGTGACCTGGGCTGTTTCGTGCCCAAAATCCGAGAACGATTTGAGGAGCTGCTTAGCCCAGGCACTGGCTGGGACCAGCTTTGCTCTGTACCCGAAATACTCCAAGGCCAGTGACGCAATGCATCTCCATGAGCCTCCACGATCCGGATGGGCACTGGGTCTCTCTGTGTCTGTGTTAGGGAAAACCATCTGAGCTCTGGTATTTGTGGAATGGCCACTGCAATGAATGCTGCTGCCATCCCCCAGCCCAGCCAGCGACAGCGCATCAGGTCAGACTCTTGCGCGTCTCCAGGCATCCCGCACAATGGTGCAGGCTCAAACCCATGGGAGGATTTGCCGGCTAAAGCTACTAGCTCTGAAGCCCTTGCGACATTCGAGGGTGTGCTGAGAGCTGCTGCTGTCCTGAACAATTGCAAGCCCAATAGCATTTTAAACGTCAGGTGCGCGCGGGGTCCATAAAACGTCGGAAGTGGAAGGTAAGGTTGGGTTTGACATCGCCGCCTCATGCGACAGGCAACGGGCGCATCATCCGGCAACTGTGTTGCCAATATCTGACATACAAATATAATCAAAGATGCATTCCGCTGAGGATGCTGTCTTGCGGTAAGAGGCATTCAGTGGCACCTCCCAGATTGCAAGGGGAGGTGCCCTCTGCAGGCATCCCTCTGTTGGGGGCGCAAGGGTAACATGAGCTTCAGTCAAAACTCTCTGCCTCATGAGCTCTCCTCTGTGGTCCCTTTTTTTTTTTGAAGGAATTTTCACTGCAGCTCACGAAAGCATGAACATTTGCCAAAACCAGAGCTGGCTTGGCCATTTTGCACTCCAGGAATGCCGCTATGTCTCAAATTGCTTGCCTTTTTCTCGACATGTGCAAACCCGGTGGAGAGGGGAACCTTTTTTTGAGGCATAGCCGCGGACACCAGATTTGGCCCTTTGGATCTTTCCTGGAAAAATAAGATTTGACCGGCTTGCATTTGCAAATCGGCACAGGTCTAGCTCAGCGCAGCTAGCGTTGCCATTGTTGCCAACCATCCTGACGGAGGCATGGCAATTCGCGAGGATGGCCTACAGGGAGAAGGGAGAAGGGCATCTGAAGTCCGCAAGTTGACGCATGTTCCGTGTTGGCTCAGCACTCTCTCCTGCTGCCTATGGCCTGGCTACACTTACACCTGGTCAGATTTCCCTGGTGAATCTTGCTCGGAACAGCCACGACAACGCAACAATATCCATGGCGCTCTTCCAGTTGCGTGATTTGCAGCCGAGCCGTGTTGAACATATAGCCCGCACTGGTTCAACATGGCATGCGCCCGCCTCATTTGCAGGATGTACAGCTGGCACCCTTCTCATCACCCTCCAGGTGCTGATGCCAGGGGATTCTTGCTGGCACCAACCTGAGCACAAAACAGCGCTTCAGCAAATGGTGAGCGCACAGCAACAGCACGAACATCATGATTTCTTTCTGAAAGTCTTGTGGCGGAAATAAAGGTATCCCATTGTGTGCATTTTGCATTCCTTTGCTTCTTTCACTATAATGTACTACAATATATTATATACCGTAATATACTTCAATATACCATAATAT